TTTACTATATATATATATATATATATATATATATATATATATATCTTACAGAGAAAATTTCCCCACACCATCATTTATAGACAGTTTATTAGTTTATAGGTTTAGCTTTCATAAAATATAGGTTGCGCTGACTCTGACCTTTGACTAAATATTTATTGCATAGTTTAATGTGCAGATTTTATGCGAATGGAAAGATAGTGGGGTAGTTTCCTGCTTAACTTCTCAACGATTGTAATTAAAAACAGTCTTCCGTCTCAAGTTGTTACCTTATGACTAAAAGGCCTAGACTAAGCAATTGCTGCTGATTATTAAGTAAATCACATAACAATGGCTAAAAACTTTAGAACGAATATTTGTCAAATTTAACACCCCTCCAACACACATGGTAAAATCTTTTTTTTTAAATACTTTTGATTTTTATAGTTTAAGATATTTGTGATTTACAGATATGGAATGACCGAAGTTATTATGCAGATTAAACTAATATTAGCTAAGAACTCAGAAATCTGATAAAAACTTCTTTTTTTTTTCTCCTATAATATATATTGTCTAGCAGCATGGCTCGGCGTTGCCCGTGCTTGATTCAAAAATCTTACGATTCATACAGCAATCGATATCACTTAACTTAAAATATTTTTGCCCTTCCTTGTCTTTAAAGGAGTGCCCTTTGCCGTGCTGATGTTGCTACATGTCTTACTTCTTGCCTATCTCACACTGCGAATTTTTTCTAAGCCTTATACTAAACATTAAATCTGTTACGATAAAGGAACTAAACAAAATGAACACAAAACAATCAGCTTTAAAAAAAGGACTCATAACTGGAAAAACCGAATGAAAAAAGAATGTTAACAGCAAATACTTTTTCACACCCAACCCAGTTCTGCGGAATCAGAATCAACGTTGAGCAAGCGAATGAGCCAATTGGAGTAAAGTGACATGCAGATTTAAATTTTTCCCACCTGTGACGAATGCAGCTATCGATTTTTGTTTTTCGTGCTAGCATGCTAGTTAACATTCGTGTCAGTCAGCTGTTGGCTCTCACGCTGCCCAATAGAATCTTCCTGCCTATTCGTGGCAGCCAGCTCTCACCCTGGCCAGTAGAAAATGGCCGAAAACTACATGAAAACTACCGTAGAAGCATGAAAAAATCGATTATTTCCACTATCGATGGGAGTTAGGAAATGCAAAGTCGGTCTTGGCCTTTATACTAACTTGGAGCATGTGCATGTAAATTTCGGTGCAAATCCGTCGAAAATTGCGGCCGTGCATTCGTTACACACACACACACACACACACACTCACACACACACACACATCCTGCCTTTTATAGATAGAGATAAATTGTTAAAGGATCTATCAAATGCTGGAAGACAGAAAATAACAAAGTTATTGAGCAAGGGAATGTCAATATTGGAAATATCAACTTGGTAAAGATCATAGGAATATAGAGTGGGGGTGCTGATGAAAACAGAACTAAGTTTGGAACTGGAATCAAAGAAAACGCTTTAAGAATTCTACTCGAGGTGAAAGTAAACTCAAGCAATTTATAACGTAACAACAACTTTTGACCAGTGCTCAGATGTTGTTGAAGCCGATATGGATAAAAGGTATAAAATACTTTGCAAATTTTGATCTTTCAGGAAATCTGAAGGGCTGACATATCTAAGTAAAGCAAATATATAAAAGCGTCAAAATTGCTCCAATAAATATAAAAATTTAATTTTGTAAAGCAATTTTCACGGACGAATCTCGACAGATCTAATATGAATCAACTGATGTTGTTTTAATCCAATGCGGATGTGTCTGTGGCTTAAATAAGGTAACAGAGTTATGATATGAACTGGAATGGTCGACAAAACCATTGTTGGACCATTAAAAATCGACACATAAGTAAAAGTGAAAAGAGAAAACTATTGCGAATTTCATGGATAAGACTTTCTTTGAATGACACAAGTTCCCGCCTCCCAGTTTGAAATCGAAGTGTGTATTAACGTATGGCAATGTTCCCTCTCGTGTATATAAGGTTACCTGTCAATTTGAACGTAAACGTTTCACAGAAGAGAGGATAATGAAATGGCCACCGACAAATCTGTATGTGAATCCCATCGAAAATTTATAGTCAATTGTGAAGATGAAATCTTATGAAGGGGACTAACAATATGGCAGCAAAATAGACCTCTAAAAAATCACAAACCAACTGAACTAAAAAAAATTAGTAAAATCAATGAATAATAGATCGCAGGCTATTATCGAAAAGAAGGGTCACTGTATTTAGATGTATATGCTTCAAAGACGTATCTTATATGTTTATTCCATCCTGAATATGACGATAAACTACATCCGTGTCCAGGGTAAGACGATAAACTACGTCCAACAGCAAGACCTCTGATCAGGAGATTTTGAGAAGCGTGGAACCACCTCTTAATTGCTGGTGTTCCCAGGTCCACCCTGACCTACGGTGGTAGCACCTGTTAGGGTTCCAGTTATGGGAAAAGAGTTGACACTTTTACTTGTGTAGAAATAGGTTTTAATACCAGAAATACTTTGTAATAAAAAAAATGGTTCAAATATATATATACACACACACACCTTTTTTTTTTTTACAAAACTATCGCTATGAATCTATTTCAAAATTTTGTTGGCATTAAATGATCCACTGAGGTTTTGATATACCATTAAACAAAACAACACACCAAGTATATGTTTACTGTTTCTTCTATTATAGGCCTTGATCAACTGATGGCGTCCCTATTTCTCTGTTATTGAGATAAAAACTGATTTTCTCGTTTATCATAACCTCTGAGTTTAGTTCATATAAATGCAATCACTATAATAAAACATGCTGTCCAGTATGTATGTATATATGTAACATACAATATTATAATAGGAGGCCCCAAAATAAAAATAAAAAAACAAACAAAAAACAAAACGTGGGGTCGCCTAGAAAGGCATAAACACCAATAAATGCTGGATGCAAGCTTCCATAATTTTGCTGTGGGGTGAACTATACTACAGCTTTTTCAACCTGCCTGAGGAGTTCTAGCGATCGAAACCTGGGTAGCGTGGTTGTGAGAAAATTTTTCAAAGTGTGTGTATATATATATATATATATATATATATATATATATATATATATATATATATATATATATATTAACCAAATCCGAAAAGAATAAATAGTACAAAATGAAAATGAAAAACAAATAAATTAACCCAAATAAATAAATAAAGAAATAAATAAATAACAAATCAAACAATCCACTCCCGAAAAAATAACCGCCAGAATAGATTACCCACACTGCATCATTGAGCCGTATATATAAATAGTCTCGGAAAAATCGAACATTCGCAGCCTGGCAATTGCGTCTAGCATGGAACAGCCAGTCGCCTCTGAGTGTTGACTTCAATGTTCACATTTATATTTATATTTACATACGCTCTATCTCTCTGATACTGAGCTCTTTATTCTATAAATATACCACACTTTGAAACTATATTTCTTCATACACACACACATATATATATATATATATATATATATAGAGAGAGAGAGAGAGAGAGAGAGTTGGTCAAGTGGTATGACGCTTGCGTTGCATCGCACGGTCCAGGTTCAATTCTCGGTAGTGAATGCGGACTGCTGATCTGGTGATACGTCGTAAATAGGACGAATAAATGAATATATATATATATATATATATATATATATATATATATATATATGGTGCAAGGTTGCTCAATTTAGCAGGGTGAAGCCCGCTATAGTGGGTGGGGACGTCCTGTATACCTGCGCCTTCATTGGCTGGGTGGTGTCAGCGATGGGTTTGCTGGGCAGGTTTCTACCGCAGTTCGAAACATTGTTACTTTGCCGCTAATACTCGTGTTGTTTTCTGTACCAGACCCGTTCTTCCGTCTATGGAGGCCATCTCTATTCATCTTTAAAGCCTTCTCTTTGTAAACAGAAGGACTTTATATTAGTCCTCCAACTAATTACCATTTCATAATTTTTCCTCCACCAATAAACTTTGTTTATTATTCTTTTTTTTATTATATAATTTATCCTATTTACCTCAATTTAGCTTTGTTGAGCGAGGTACGAAACCGGTTAACTAGCCCGTTATTCAGTTATTCATTTTTATTTTTTATTATCATGAGTAGTAATAATAAAACTAATTTTTGTCTATTCATAACAGTGATAAAATTTTGTACCACCAAATATATCTTTAAATATATATATATATATGTGTGTGTACGTATATCAGTTAGCTTGAATTAGTTACGCCATGTTCTTTTCATATGAACTGCGGCTATATGTAAGCATGATTAGAATCTCAACTTTTTTTTTAATTCTGCGTTAGTCAATGTCCTGCCCTAGTCTACTATTTCTGAGTTTTTAATACTTTTATTTTATCTTAGAATTTTCCGGGCTTAGTTTCATTTTCTGATGACTTCAATCGGATCCATCAATCGTAATCGAAGAAAGAATTTCATTTGGGTGTGGAATGGCCAATTCTATATCGAGATAATTTCCATGTCTACATCAGTGCACGCGTCTATAAACATGGTCGGATACTTTTTAATGAATATGACTCCAAAGAGAATATCGAAGAATCAATTCTCTGGTATTCTGTCATTGAAATCCTGATTTTAGAAAAGGGTCAAGAACTTTTTCTGCAAATCCTTATAGATATATTATTACCTATTTCAATCGACAGAAATTGATAGACAGACAGATGGGTCCCAATGGAGAGGAATCTGTCTCTCAGACCCTCAGTCCTTTCAAATCTATCTCAGACTTTTTATATCAGTCTATCTTTCTATCTATCAGTCTTGTTATATCTATCTATCTATCTATCTATCTATCTATCTATCTATCTATCCCAGTCTGTTCAATATATATCTATATAAAATTGTTTATATCTATCTTATTTTTACTTTTTCACTATTACATATTTATCGCTTGGTTTCCTTACAATGTGAAAAAACACCAGAAAAATAAGTAATTAAGAAAAAAGAAAAGTAAGATAGATAGATAGATAGATAGATAGATAGATAGATAGATAGATAGATAGATAGATAGATCTGAACAGGCTGACATAGATAGATAGATATGAACAATCCAAGATGTGGGATAACGATATATATATATATATATATATATATATATATATATATATATATATATATATATATATATCAAGAACAATGTTAGGGGGAGATGTATGGCAAAATGAAAAAAATTTTGATATGACACGTTTCGTCCTTTAAGACTTCATTGGACTGGGTTTAAATTCACGTTGATGTCACGTTAAATTCACGTTGATGTCACGTTAAATTCACGTTGACACATGCATCCGAGCGAGGGACACCGGGAATTTTTAAATTTGAATTTGATTTTTTTTTCAGTATTTAATCTAACCGACATCATTTAGATTCTTTTTTGTTTGATTTCTTTTTTTTTTTTCCTCATTCTTTTTTATTAAATATCCCACATTTAGGATAAAATGTAAGATCTGTCAAGAAATTCGAAACGATGTAAGAAGATGGACGCACGTTTGCTGTGAAGGATCTCACGATTAAATCACTTCCTAAATATATTCATCCTTATGAATTGTTTTCTCTTTTTATATCAAAATTGGGATCAATCTCGTTACAATGAAAAACTTGTAAAACATCCTTTTTGTGCTAATATAATCTTTTATTTACATTTATAGACGTTTCTTTGATGTGTTCCTTGTGGTAATTACTACAGGTAATTCCTCCTTCAAGTTTTAGCCTGGCTTTGTTTTACTTTAAGAGATGTTGTTCTACAGAAGGATGCTAAGGATATCATGGACCGAATGTGTGAGCAAAGATGAGATCTTAGAGAAGTTGCAAACAAGGAGGAGACTTATATTTAACATCAGGAAGAGGCAGCTGAAGTTTCTGGGACACATAATGAGGAAAGAGAACCTGGAGAATCTGATACTCACGGGTCGAACAGATGGAAAGAGAGACAAGGGAAAACAACGCATGACATCCCTGGCGGGCTTAAGCAAGTGGATGACAGAACGTGGTCTGGAGAAGGAAGCAGAGTGAAGGAACATGTTGAGAGCTGCAAGTTATAGAGAGAGATGAAAAGCCATGATCGCCTACGTGCTGAAAGGACATAGCACATAAAAAATTGTTTTAGAATTTTATGTTGTGTTTATATACATTCTTTGAAATTGAATTTGTGATAGAGTTCCTGGATAGAACAATATATTTTTTGACTCGTTGAGTTTGTCAGGAAGGGCCAATTTTCTATTTCAGAATATGAGCCTTTTGTTTTGCATGGAATATGAAATAGTTATGGTATTGGAAGAGCTTGAAAGTATTTTCAATATATTTCGTATCTTCCTGTAAATACTAAGGGCTGCAAATTCTCTGTGCGCTTAAAAGGAATCCGATGATCATTCCAGATTTCATTTTTGTTGTAAAGGATTTTTTGTTAGTTGATTTATTTGTTTAGTTTATTAAATATTATTGGTAAGAATTAAAAATTCAATGAGGAATTGAAGCATTTACTAAAACATTTTAAGATAGGGGTATATTTTCGAAACTAATAAAACTTTTTCTTGCTTGATAATCCGGTGATAGCAACTGAATAAATAAAAAGTGATATTTTTTAAAAGATTTATTTACTTACACCAATATAGTGATTTATTAGGGATAGCTTAGATCTGACACAAGGAGCACCCTGTGATTATCGAACTCACTACTCCTTCGTTATTGATCGAGTAAAACAAACTTGCCAACCATTACATTACGTCGAAGTGTCCCTCATGGTTGTCTAACAGAAGTTTAGATATGGTACAAGGCCGAGAGTTTGGAGCACCGTGTGAAGCTCGAACCTTCCGTCGTAAATGATTTAGCGAGACAAGCTGTTTAACAATTACACCACGCCGAAGTGCCTCTAATGATTTTCTAAGTGTAGATTACACGTAGCACAAGGCCGAAAGTGCGGAGCTGCCAATGAAGCTCGAACTCACTCCCCAGTCGTATTTGTCCAATTTAATTATATATATATATATATATATATATATATAGATAGATAGATAGATAGATAGATAGATAGATAGATAGATAGATACACCTAGTGAGCCAGACAAACCTACCTAGGTCTCAGCTAAACGGATCGTCAGGGAAAGTAAGGCTAACGAGGCAAAGAGAAACGCATATTTATAGGCGATAGCTAAAATCATACCACGTGACCAAAGAACCACAAACACAAACCTAAGTGAGTGTGTGTGTGTGTGGGGGGGGGTAAATATTTATTCAACAAAAATGGGGAGGGAAAAAAAAAAACAAACATCAAGGTGGAATGACGATAAACGGGAAAACGTCTAATCTAGTAGCCAAGATTTTTTATGTCTACATACATTAAGGATTTCAATTTTGGAGTTTAATAGCTGGTTAGGTCGATCATATAAAGCTATGGCTAATTTCTCCTCTGCACATAATTTATAAAATTTATGGCCTGCTTTATATTTTGGGCATTTTTTAATATTTCCCATTTAAGGATGGGGTCTATATTATCTTCAAGTGAAAATTTACAAAAATAGTGAGGATACTAACCATAAAACATACATAGGTGCTACTCAGGGTAAATTTAAAAAAAGATATTATAACCACACGAGTAGTTTTAAAAACGCAAAAATTAAACATAGTACCACGCTATCTACTTATGTATGGAAAACCAAACAGGGAGATAATATAGACTCCATCCTTAAATGGGAAATATTAAAAAAATGCCCAAAAATAAAAAATCTTGGCTACTAGATTAGACGTTTTCCCGTTTATTGTCATTCCACCTTGATGTTGTTTTTTTTTTTTTTTGGGGGGGGGTCGGGGGGTTCCCCTCACCATTTTTGTTGAATAAATAATTACCCCCCACCCACTTAAGTTTGTGTTTGTGGGTCTTTGGTCACGTTGTATGATTTTAGCTATCGCCTATAAATATGGGTTTCTCTTTGCCTCGTTAGCCTTACATTCCCTGACGATCCGTTTAGGTGAAACCTAGGTAGGTTTGTCTGGCTCACTAGGTTTATCTAGGCCTGCTCTACGCTTGTATTGAGCGCTTTTGTTAGTTGTTTACTCGTATCGGGTTTTTTTCTTTGGGCTTCAGACCTGTATCTGTGCGATTTTTTTGTCGAAAGAAGTTCATGTTTGTAGCTCTTTCTTTTTTTAAAACCTTTTTTCCCCTTGAGGTTGATTTGATTAGCAAATCAAAAATTCGAGGGTTTTTCGAAACGAGTCTAGTTATCTATAATTATATATATATATATATATATATATATATATATATATATATATATATATAAGACGAGAACGAATAAAGATTGAGACAGAGATTGAGAGAAAACAGACAAAAGCCAGAAAACACACCCAGAGTTATACATATATATATATATATATATATATATATATATATATATATATATATATATATATGTATGTATGTATGTATGTATGTATGTGTGTGTATGTTTACAACAAAGATGCTTACCACTTTGGAACAAATATCTAACGGATGTAAATACAACGCAAGATTAATCAAGTAAAGAGAATTTATCATTTATTAAGCAGACCTTACCTAATTAGAAGTATTACACTTTGTCATATTTTGGGATTTCGCTAACACATAACTTGATAGCAGTATTTATAATAATAATAATAATAATAATAATAATAATAATAATAATAAAACAAACATAATGGCCAAGCAGATGTGGACAAGTGCCGGTTGTTTAGCAAGGTGGTGGCAAATATTACTCACATCATTAGCACCTGCAGGGTACTTGCATAGAAAGAATACAAACACCGATATGATAAGGTTGACCGTCATCTGCAATGACGGGTATTTAACAAATACTCACTTGAAGTCGACAAGATATGACCTCGCCCAAAGGCGGAGAAACTGATTGAAATCAGACATCAGTGTCTCTTGAAAAAGAAAAAAATATCTGCAATCAGTATGGCTGACACTAGCCTCCAGAAGAAAAACACACTGGGCCCTCTTGGTCTCACTCACGTTTTCTATTGACTTAAAGTGGAGCAAGTCCACTGGAATAATAATTAGATCCATTGCAAGGAAATTTGTGTCGCTGTGTCATACCAGAAATATTTTTCTCGTCAAAATATATCTTGTACATTTACGAATCAACCATTGATTGAATACTGTTGTCATATCTGGTCTCCTGCTCTTGCTAATCATTTAGGGATTCTTAACATAATGCAATGAAGTATCTATAATTTAATCGACCCTGAACCGACATCTCGGCTTCACTCACTTTTTCACTATCGTAATCTGGCTTCGTTCTGTCTTTTCTACAAATATTTCATGAAAACTGGAAACTGATCTAACAAGTTTTTTGTTTCCTGGTGCCCTGATTACGTAAATTTAAGCGTGCTACTAGAATGGTATCTTGATCGCACCCGGTAACTGTTGAAATATCTAAATGCCACCGTACTTTCTACTCCAACAGATTATTTTCTCGCATTTTCCGCCTTGAGTACTCCCTTCTGTTTACTTGCTTCCCTGATAGCGACAATCTTCAAAAAATTAAATGCAACGTCAATCGCCATTTCTTGAATCCTGTTCATCGTTTTTCCTTTCCTCAATCTTTCCTATACTCAGTCTTTTTTTGCTCAATGTCAGTTCCTGTAACCTCTTGCGTACTAATTCTCACCTTGCTTGGGGTGAAATGCTTAAAAAAAATCCCTGGATAATATCCAAAGAATCGGCAATATTACTAGTCCAGTCCTGGCATCTCGTCTTTAGTCAATTTTCCACCGCCTTAATATAGTTTTCCTGTGCCTTTTCTATAAATATGTTCATGGTAATTGTTCGAATATACTTTCTTTTATGGTAGTAAACTTTATGAATTCAAGCGCAGTACTAAATTGACAAAAAGTTGTCATCAAGTTACAGTTAAACTGGCTACATGGAACCGTAAGTTCTATGCTAACAGTTTCTTCTATCAAATTTCTTGCTTATGGTTCTTTCTTCTAGGACTATGCTGTCCAGCCGCCTTTAACTTTCAAATATTTAAATGCAATGTCAATCGTTATCTTCTTGATTACTCTTTTATTGATCTCGTCCTTAATAATGTTTCTCTTTTTTCTTATTCTTTCATACTCAGTAACCCCTTTTGTCTTAGTGGCTTTACTGCTTTGCATGGAATAAAATGATTAAAACAGTTGTTTTGCTAAGAAATTATATTTTAACTTAATTCAACTCAGTCTTTTTTATCGTCGCATGTTTTCAATACTACGGAAAAAAAAGGTATAAACTAAAATAGACTGGTTGATTAATCATAGAGCACTCATAGATAATGAAACTTTTGATTCGTCTTGATATATTTAGCAAATAGTATGTAAACAATGCTTCCAAAATGCATTAGAATATTAAAATAGAAGTTATGGTTAAATCTCGCAATTTTAACAGCAAAATTGTGAGACTTAGCTGACTAATTAGTAGTATGCTAAAATTCATAATGTTGAGGTACTCATTAGATTAATTGCCATGAAAATATTTATAGAAAAGGCACAGGGAATGTACGCTATGTTTTGCTGTGTTTACATCATATTTGTTCTAGTTATCATAACATTGTACCCTCCGGCTTTCTGCAAGTGCTTGTCGAACCAGGTAACCTTCAGGGAATTTTAAACTGAATACTTTTAAGCACAAAGAAGCTACGTTGCAGTAGTGGGGAAAATGACTGAAGCTGAGATGCAAGGTCAGGACCAACAAATTCACAGATTCTTCTTTGGATTTTGTCAAGAATCACAAGATCAGGAACACCAGATATGACATCAATAAATCAATGCATGGATGAATGGTAGATTTATAAATGTGCAAGATGGATTCGGATGAGAAAAATTATCTAACATGACAGCCAAACAACTTTCTTATCAACAGGCCTAGCATTTGATTCAATATAATATTCAATTCCCTGTGCCTTTTCTAGAAATACTTTCATGGTAATTGTTCTGATGAACTTTCCACTATGAATTTAATCACTGTCCTATATTGCCAACAAGTTCTCATCATTTTAAAGTTGAATTGGCTTGATGTAACCGTAAGTTCTACGCCAACAGTTTCTTCTCTTAAACCTTTTGCTTATTGAACTCTCTTCTGGAACTATGTTTTTCAGCCAACTTTGATCTTGAAATACTTAAATACAATGCCAATCGTTATCTTCTTGATTACTCTTCTATTGTTCTCGATCCTTAATAATGTTTCTCTTTTTTTCTTATTCTTTTACACTCACTAACCCCTCCTGTCTTATTGACTTTACTGCCTTGCATGGGGTGAAATAATTAAAAAAATAAATAACTCCTCATTGCGCCATTGTTCTTGGGGACCCTAATACCAAAGTTAAATATATTGACAAATTTAAGAAATATATTGACCTCCGGATCGAATCTGTCAGAATGTGGGACGTCCAATCCTCTAACATCTCTGTTATCACTGAGGCGTTGGGGTAAGTAACAGTGAACTGCATCCTTTCAGATTGGGAAAGTTGAAATAAAGTCTAGTGTCTCGTTGCTTCAAAAGTCTACATTGCTTGGTACTGCAAAGATTCTGCGAAAGGTAATCTCTGGCAGATTTTGAACTCTAGTTGAGTTTACAACATTCAACTACGTTACTTGGGGAAACTAAGAATCAAATTCCTCCAACTATTGGTTAAATAGTAGAACATGATCTGGAGAAATTGTTGTTATCTTCCGAAAATAATTGTTAACGAAATAATCCGTTGGAAAAATTAATAATTATTTTTGCAATCCAATGTAAGCTTCGGATTTAAATAATCTACAAAGTATTGATAAACCGTAAAGAATAAATAAATATCTGACTGAGTTAGTACGACCTCCTGCAGAAGACCAATAATGCAAGATTTCAGTTTAAAATAAAAACTGTTCAACGATGACAACAACAACAACAACAACAAAAACAACAACAACAACAACAATAATAATAATAATAATAATGTAGTTTGAAAAAAGAAAAAGAAAACTTACCTCTTGGACGTCCGTACGTAAAAAGAATCTCGTGAGGAAGCCATATTGTTTTCATGCTGGCAAATTAACGCAAAATCACGGCGATCACGAGATTTGAGAAAATATGAATATGCAGTGTACGAAAGACGGGTGGAAGAAAAGAAAGTTAGTCTACAAGAGACCAGACAATACGATAAATACAACATCTACAAATAATAATAATAATATTAATAATGCATGGTAAATAGCGATGCATTTCCTTTTAAATTACACGAGATTTAACAGGAGAAGAATCCAGCTTTCACCGAAGAGAACACAAAAATATCAAGATACAAAATGTAATGTTTACCTGAGTCTTTCTTCTCAATCGTGATATGATGTCAGTCAAAATGTAATGCCCGTTGTTTAATTGTAACAGATTTAATAGTAAAAGCACAAAGAATGAGACGACGACAATAAAATTGAAAGATTTCAAATTTAATCTTCAGCACAGTTTCTTTCCTTCTCAATCGCTCATACCAATATATGTTGAATAGTAAAGCATTTTCTATACTTACAAGCGTCACAATAATATATATAGACAAAGCAATCCAAAATTAAGATGAAAGTTTAGACTTCAACATAGTTTTCTTCATTTTCTATCATAGCATTCCATATTTGAATGATAATCTATATATCCACACCGTAGAGATATTAGTGCTGATTTATTAGTCTTATGCAAGTTGCTTCTTTCATAATCTTTATAGAATTGTTTTCCCTTCTGTGCCCTTTTCATTGATAGCTGCTCAACAGCAATCACGTATGGGTCTTCACTTGATTCTCAGAGATTTGTAAAAACCCACTTTGCACGGAGTATTTCGCAGTCATCAGACTGTACAAACCAACATGCACTCATTCGACTCACCTCAAGTGTTTAATAGGTTTGCAATAATGGTTCTTGTTTAGTTTATATTGAGAACATTAGCCTTTTTTATTTTGCGAGCAAGCGGCCTCTAAGATTAGTTTTATTTTCTTTCTAGCGTATCCATTAACTTTGTATTAATGTCCTGAGAATGTTTGCAGCACTTTACCCTTCCAGAAACAGAAATTCTATAACAGTTTCTTTAGTTTTCAAAGTGTCAATTGAACGACAGAAAGTTTGAAATGGAATTAAAAAAAAATATTAAGGATGTTTCCGTTGGTCTTTTAGGCTTTTAAGGTTTACAGGTAAAAACAAAATGAATTCTGACAAATACCTTTAAACAGAACAGGCATTAAATTATTACATACGCTCCTAAACTCATAAAAAAACACGCTAAAGGTGCTACTTAAAAGCTTGAAGAATTTGAAAATATCGTTCAATCTGTTTATATGTATTATTACCCACGTCTCGGCTCAACCGCGCCTCTTGAAACCATCCGACTACGTATTAAATAAAATGTCTTTTTTCTTTCGTTACAGGCGCTATATTTCATCTGAAGTTACACGAGCATTTACTTAGCCCTATATATTGATTCATGTTTCATTAAAGAATATAGACAAGTTTTGTCTTTTTAAGTAAGTTCCTTTCATATTGTCTGATAATCTTACTAACATTATCATTGAAAGACGAAAAGAAATCACCATATTGATACATGTCTAAATCTAATCTAAGCTTTCGGCTTACATAAGCCATTATCAAAGATGTCAATTACATTTCAATATACCAACTAATACACGGACGAAACAATAATGATAATCTGTTTCTTTTTGTATGAAAAATTTCAAAGCAACGACAAACTCGTGTATACGAAACGCGGAAGCGAAAATCGCATCGCAGCTCATGACCTGACACATGACCACGCAAGTGTGAAAACGAGATGTATTAAGTATGGGAAGCCGTTGGTATAAACCAATGGCTTCTGCTATCAATTATAGGCATTCGATAATATTTGTGGAGATTACATAGTTTTCATGCAACAAAAACATTTATTATGAAAGGAATTTACTTAAAATAAATAGACAAACTTGTCTATATTATTTAATGAAACATGCATCAATGAAAAATTGCTGCCTAAATATACACAATTTATACACATTATATATATATATATATATATATATATATATATATATATATATATATATGTATGTATAACAATCACTATAACAATAAGATTAATAAAAATGTTTAAAGTGTAGATGATGTAGAAAAAGATGCATTCTGCTTATTTACAACAATGGCTCCTAACGGATATGAAGTACCTAAAGTAAACAAAACAAAGCAATAGAACTTGACATAATGACATTTTAGAATTAACTATATTCCTTCTGCATTATTTTTCCTGTGTCAGTAGAGATTTTATGAGTACGTATCGGCCGGGAAATATTTACTTATACCAATACATGATAAATATATGGGTAGCTTTGAACTTACACTAAATTACAACTGCCTGCAAACACTTTTACATAAAAACTGTAACCGAAGATTTAATGAAGGTTTATATTGATTTTTCTATGTTCTCTCTACTTTGTCCTAAGAGTATTACGTTTTTTAAGTCCTCTTTCATTCATAATGTATCCCAGAAAAAAAACAACAGCCTCTTTATCATTTAAAATATAAGAATTCTTCTAAGTTCTGCCACTTTTACGAATGTCAGCCTTTATCTCATATTCTCTCCGTGGTATGCTCAGAATTCTTCAGTATGGCACATTTTTGGTGCATCGAGTCTCTTTTCATGATTATAAGGAAAACATTCCTCCTCTTCTGGCAGTGAGTGGAATATATAGGATATAACATTTCAACACACTTTCTATACTGAGTTTTAGAACAGTGGATATATATTAATAATAATAATAATAATATATTGAAAAATTCCACAATATTTTCCTTTTTCAGACCCAAGTACTTCATTGGGTTTATAGTTGAGGTATTAGGAATTGTACAACCACAAGCCAGAAAATGTCCTTGTGAGAGACGCATTCAAGATAGTGTGGAATCTTTTAATTCAAACAAACCAGAACTGGAGTACAAGCAAGACACGCTTATCAATTAGTCTAACTGAACCTTTTCCAATCAATCCGAGTGCTCCAACTACAACTGGAATTATTAATGTCTTCATGTGTTATATTTTCTAGATTTCCACTTCAAGATATTTGTATTTTGATAGCTTTTTGAAAATCCTCAAAGATACATCACAATTTGTAGGAATGTCAATAAGAAATCACATTCTCTTTTTGTGCTGTTTGATGACGATGTCTGGACAATTACCGTTGATTGTTCTTTGTTCTGTCGGTGTGTATTATAAAGTCCCATAAAATTGTTACATGTCTTAACTCTGTGACTGAGACTCGGTGATGTTTATACCAAAATTTGGCAGTTTCCTTCCCGTAAAAGTTGCATATTTTCCTGTTCAGATATTGACTCACACTATGATTCCGTGTTTTATATCCAGTGGATGCTGAAACTGTGCAACCTGATACAAAATGATCAGTTGTTTCTGGATATTTATCACAGAATCCGCATTTTTTTTCAGTATGTGTGCTTACTGATTTCTAGTTAGCAAGAATTGGTCTTGTGCCGCAAGAATAAAACTTTCGGTTTCATCTTTTTAAGCCTGCACTACGTTACCAATGATGGGTACGGAGATTCTTCTACATTAGTCTGTTTAGTACGGTCAGAATATTCACCATGAAGAGGCCTATCTTGTTATCGTTTTTGCATTTGCTACATTATATTTGATTTTGCTTTCATTTTAGATTGGCATTGGCAGTGCCTTTAGTGTTATTTAGGTATAATGTAGTTTCTCGCAGTTCCATGCTATATTTAAGGAATTTTTTAATCATCGAGGAGACTTTTCCAAAGCGTTAAGTATCCAAGAGTGTAACACTCTCAAAGGCTTTATGGTAATCTGTCCAAGCTGTGATGAGATTTCTACCCTCTTTTTTGACAATTTTCGGTAACGTTTTAGTAGTTAATTATTGTGTCCATATAAATTTGTAGTTAATTATTGTGCCCATATAAATCTCTTCGACATCATTTCTTTTCCAGGGGAAGAATGTTGTTTTCATTGTGAAAAGAGTAAGTGCAGTCGTTAGGACACAGGTGATCAATTTATATGTGTTGGACCTGATAACGTCTGTCCTGATGAACTATATTTAATCTATTATTATTATTAGTAGTAGTAGTAGTAGTATTGACAACATTTAGAGTAAGGTGCAATTTAAGAAAAGAAAAAGAATAGAAGGCACATGTGACCTGCTACCTACATGTTACTTACCAGATATTAACATTTTATCTAAGAAAACACTGACAATTATAAAGATTAATATTTTTTGGTCTTTATTGATAAGTTCCAAACAATTTGTT